GACTTGGGCCTACGTCGTACATTTAGATTGATTTTTACTGTCGCCCACCAGGAGTTCGATCACATGCTCCAGCTTGGCACAATCCGCCCTTCTGCAAGCAATTAGACCTCCCCTCTACACATAGTACCGAAAGCGACTGCTGGCAACTGGCGACCCTGTGGGGATTATCGCGCGCTCAACGCACACATTGGGCCTGACGGGTATCTACTTCCTCATATCCAGGACTTAACAAATCCCGCTGGAATGTCTGCTGAGAGCAATATAGACCTGATCAAGGTATATCACCAGATACCAGATGAACTTTCAGACATCTCAAAGACGGCCGTTACCCCTTCTTTTGGGCTGTTCGAGTACCGTAAAATCCTGAGAGATAGCCTACCTAACATCGAGAACAAATCGGGTGAAAATATGAAGTGAGTAACTTTTAATGTACAATCAAGAAAAGTTTTTAAAAATTGCTATTTTTAGGTCGTGTTCCTTCCAAGCTTGTTATGGCGAGGGCCAACGAAGCAAAGATGATTGTACTTCCCAGTCAGCAACGTTCACTTATATACTGCTATCGGTAACTAGCCGAATTTCCGACGAGGCCATCATTGATCCTAACACTACTATTACTGGTAGTGGGCTGTATTTCGGTGTTTAGAAAATATAGCAAATCAGGCCAAAAATAGAGGTGGGCTATCTTTCGGGGATGGGGCATCTTTCGGGGTTTTACGGTATGCACGCATTTCATTTTAGTTGCACAGCGCAGTACAAACCTTTCAACGTTTTATCATCGAAGTGACGCGGGGCCTGAACCTCATGCTCGCCTACCTCGACGATCTGCTTGTCCCGAGCACTTTGATGGGCGAACACGAGCAACATATTGAATTGATTTTTGGCTGCTTTCAGTGTTTCAGCCTAATCGTCAATCCAACCAAGTGCATATTCGGAGTTCCAGAAGTTGACTTTCTTAGTTATCCTCTTACGACCGCCGGTGTCACACCATTGGAGGACAAGGTTCAAGCGGTGCGTGATTTTCCCCAACCTACGTCACTGCGCAAGCTACGCGAGTTCCTTGGGCTCCTCAACTTCCACCGACGTTTTATTTCGGACTGTGCCCGTATTTTGTAGCTCCTCAGAACAAAGAAAAATCCCAACTCAGCCGTTGACTGGACAGTTCGAGCAGCGTCTGCTTTCTCTACTGCGTAGAAAGCCCTGGCCAACGCAACCCTCCTCGTCCACCCACAAATGGACACCCCTATTCGACTAATGACGGATGCCTCAACTGTCGCCGTTGGTGCCGTCCTGCAACAACACAATGGGGGGAATTGCGCCCACTTGGTTTATGCTCCCAGAAAATGAAACCAGCCGAAACGAAGTACAGCACTTTCGGACGAGAGCTGCTGGCCATCTTCCTCGGTGTAAAACACTTCCGTCACCTCCTTAAAGACAGCATGATTTACTTACTGACACATCATAGTCCTCCAACAAAGTACTCTGCTTGTGAGGTACAACAACTTTGTTTCATCTCCGAGTTTCCTGTTGACATTCGGCACGTGCAAGGGTAAACAAATTCTGCTTCTTAAGCTCTTTCGCGAGTGTAAGCCTTTTTCATTCAGACTGTCACAGTGGTTTTTCAAGCTATTGTGCAAACAAAGCGATATAACCCTGAGTTTTTGGCTGAGCGGGAAAAGCAATCGTCACTGGAACTAAAAGACATTTCATTGCCCCTCGAGTCATCGACAATCACCTGCAATGTCTCAACTGCCGCTCTACCCACCTTCGTACCTCTGTCATTCCGGAAACCAGCATTCTGGAATTCGCTGCGCACAACGACTGACCACCGCTCGTTATGTATGGCCCAGTATAAATACTGATGTACGTCGGTGGACCAAAAATTGTCTCCGGTGTCAGCGCTGCAATGTCACCAGACATACTGTTACCTCTTTGGTTTACTTCAGGCTCCCGGAGGCAAGATTCGACCATATTCACTTGGACCTGGTTGGACCGCCGCCACCATGACAATGTTTCAGGTGCCTGCTCAGATGCGTCGACAGATGCGCACGATGGCCGAATGCAACATCACTCTCAGATATCACAGCAAAAACCGTGGCTGAGACATTCGTGATGCGCTGGACTTCCCGCTACGGTTGTCTGTCGGCCATCACCACTGACAGTGGACGGCCATTTGAGAGTGCACTATTCACAGCACTGACGCAGCGTTTTGGAGCGCAACACATTCTGACCACGGCATACCACCCTTTCGCCAACGGCATGGTGCAACGATTCCACAGGCAACTAAAGGCCTCCCTCATAGCTCAACATGGTCGCACAAACGGGCTTCAACATCTGCCCCTGGTTCTCCTAATATAAGATGTAAGTTCAAGGAGGATCTTGGGTTTACATCATCCGAGCTCTTGTCCGGTACCACACCCAGGCTTCCATGGACGGTTTTCACGTCACATGACCACGATGTAACCTCTTACCTATCCACATGCGTAAATTCATTGCGCAATTTTTTTTAACATATCTAGCCGACCTGTCCCCGGCACCCGACTCGCAGTCAACTTTTCAGGTCTCAAGACTTGGAGATATGTACTCATGCTTTTGTACGCCTTGACCTCGTCAAAGAAGACACTTACTTGGGCGTACGATGGACCTCTTAAGGTTCTAAAGCATTTACTAAAGACGATGACACTTGACGCCAAAGGCCGCGAGCAGGTTGTCACGCTCGACAAAATCAAACCTGCCTACAATGACGCAGCTACTAATTTTCTCATGGAAACCTCGGCAACCAGAGCTCAGTTGCCTCAAGAACATACCGTCCAACAGACTGAAACTAACGTGGGCCCCAAGTTGCTGTTCAACATACCAGTGAATAACAAAACACTATCTAACTTGAAAAAACACAGCTCGTAGTAGTGGACTGTATACGCTTTTCACGCGCAACGAGTATTTTGCCATCGCCGCATCGAAAATGTCCACGTCCATTTCAATTGCAACAAACTAAACGGCCGCTGTCCGCTCAACACCTAACTCCTCAGCCTACAATTTCAAAAGTTCGTCTCCTGATTTCGCACATCGAAAGCCAGGACACCAGGGAGGACCTCTGTGGCGGCATGTGCCATATGTGTTCAAAGAGGCAAGGCAGGCTCCCAGACCACGCGACGGCAGGTGGGGAAAATTCGGGGCTACTCACGCGATTAAAGATCAGAACCGTTTTTGTAAGCTTTTGTAAGCCAATCGCACTCCGACTTTTCAGCCCCGACAGGTACATGTATTTAGACACTCGTCAGCTGGCTTCAAGCGTCATGTGGGATGCCCGATGGCAACGGCGCCAGATTTATGTTTCCTAAATATTCAAATTCAGTTCAATTTCATTCACTCAACTTTATGACAGGAGAAAACGCTACTCAATGCAGCTTGATACACTTTTGCCTCCCATACAGACTTTGAGAGAATGGTCAGCACATATACAAGTAAAAAATATCAAACTAATACCAAGTAAATGCAAGTAGAAGACAGCAATGAAAAATACATACGTATAATAACGAAACGTAATTTCTAAAGTGCAGGGATTTCACTGTATTTCACTGCACTATATATATTTATTTATATTTTTGCTATGTGAATATTCTTTTTAGTAAGTTCGTTAAGGGTGGATAGTACACCATGCTGAAGCATTTGAAATCCGTAATAAGTTCTCGAATTCGCCGCTCTCTAATACTCCGAACAACGTGCATGATAAGACACGGGGTTTAGAACAAGTTATGACATATTAGGAAATTATATATTTCTTGATAAGTACTGCTTTTATATTTCTGGATTAGTGTTTGATTATTCAAATCAACAGCGCGTGTGGCACTAAATTTTGAATGTAAGGCATCTGTATGGCTGTCGTGGTCTACATTGGCCACTAAACGGAGAACAATTTTTGTGCTATATATATCCTTTGTATAGGTTCGTAATAGTCGCATTACTCCATACAACTTCTCATTAATTTAAATATGCCCAAAATATTCAGTAATACAAAAGATGTTTGACCCTTTCCGGCAGATCAACAGGATCAACATAATGATGAGAGGTTCTCCCTCAGCATGACTCTGGGTGGTCTTTCAATGGAGATATGGTTTACGTAGTGGTGTTCGTTATTATCCAGTGATATTATCAAATATATTGTTATCTGTACCCGGTGACAGATTATGAATGTAGTAGATAATCTATATCCAGCTGGAGTATGCTGCCTTCGATAACACTTCGTGGCTTAACCTAAAGCACGGCGGAAGGCAGCGAACACGTGATAAAGGCGGAGCCCGTTGTTAGGAGCCATAATCCACCTATTGTCTGTCAACTCGATGTTAGAGTCTTCATCAACGTCACATGGTATAATACCTCAAACATTTAGAACTAAGTACACTCTATCCGATATACAAAGCCATCAATAAAACAAATAACGAGTTTCTTAAGAGGCTGTTGCTATTTCTTAAATATATTAATTTGGAGCGAAAATTCGCATATAAATACATTATTTTCATTTTGGGAAATAATGTGTTTGATGATGGATGGAACACTGTCCGATGCTGAGATGATGGAACACACTGTCCGATGTTTAGTGAACCAATAACATATTTCAATGAAGTAATCTTGCCAAACTTATATAGTTAGCTTAACTGTACTATAAAACCAAGCACGAAACGTCTTTTATTATATTCATAATAGAAAGAGCGGGAGTTTGTACCATTCATTTATGAAATAAAAGAAATGTACAGGATACTAAATTTTGCTTGTCGTTTCTGAATTGATCTTGAATAGTGCCTGCCGCGGCTGCGGACACATCCTATTAAAAAGGGTGTAATCCTGATCGAAATAATATGTAGTGCAGTTTAATTGCCACTAACTATATGAACAATACAACTTTGGATGTAGCGAACGCAGCTGTGATACAGTTGCCACTCGGATGTCATAATATCACGCATTCATTAAGTCTGGTAGAAGTACCTAAGGAATTGTCATTTCAGCTGATGCCGTACATCGTTCAAGACCTTCTTGGGGATTATCCAGGCCTCTGTGGAGTTCTGGTGGCTGCAGTTTACAGCGGTTGTCTCAGGTAACCTAAGATGTCACAAACGTTTGATATCTCCATAGACGACAGGCAGTATGTACAGATATACTGTTAACTCCAGCAAGGGGATGCAAATATGCCTATCTCGCTCGAAAACGATCACTACGGCTCTACTTAAATGTGAACTAACTATATTCGATGACAGGTTTAAGAGTGCAGAGCAAGCTCTTCTAACTAAGCACTCTACTCTTTCCAGTTTGCCACATTGAACGCTGGAAAAGGGGGCGAGCCCCTCTTCGCCTCCTTTCCGGCATTCACTTCGCTAAAGTGGAAAGGGCAGAGTGCTTCGTGGGAGGAGCTTGTCCTGTACTCTTAATCTGCAACACGCTATTACGTCCTCTGGCAGTTAACAGGTGACAGCCACATTAGCAAACTTGACAAGCAACAACGTTTATAAACATAACTCGTGTTGAATAGAATCATCAGAGGTGAGTTCATTAAAACGCGGCCGTTAGTTTTATGTTTGCATATTTCATATACAACGAGTGACATACAGAACAACCCGCCTGCTGCATACGTTTTTTCTTAGCTACAATAAGAAGTTTCTATTTTGCCTATTAGAGTGATCTTTGAAGCGGAACAAAATTACTCTTCGACTTCGGCAGCCCTGGGTCAGTCATTAAGTGAAAACGGCTGTGGCGCTCCTGTACATTTCTTCAAATCTTTCACCAGCTCGCTGTCGTCTGGGTTCAATGCTATGGCTGCGGTCACGTGGGACGACTTTATTCGGCCATGTGTAAGGTTACCTGAGAAACGGACTGTGCTTCTCACCAAGTGCATCGGTAAGGAGGAGTTAGAAAACAAGCTTCGTTTATTCGCTTTTCCTGAGATAGTGTTCTCTCTCTCTCTTTCTCGCTTAGCTGCATTTTGAATTAGTTGTTAATCACCCGTCCCCACTTTATCAGTAAGTGCATTGCTACCTTAAATTCCAATGTGCCGAGAAACCAAGAGAGAGGACACAAGAGCCTGTGGGGACATCAGTACTCCGAGCTCTGATTCGAGCGATTAGGGGGTAGACCTAAAGCTAGCTCTGCCTTTGTCTTCACTGCACTCGTCGAACGCGTTCGGAGGCATAAGCCAAACGCCCGACACCGGCGTCACAGCTTTAGGCCATTAATCACTCAAACCAAAGCTCAATGTTCTGACGTCCCCTCCTCTTCCTCAGTTTCTCGGCGCGTATACACTCCGTGCTTATCACGATTATTCATACTGTGTTTTACATTAAGTTCGACTGCAACAGACGCTACAATTTGATGGCGACCAACCAATCGGCGCCAAAAAGGCATCGTCATGGCGCTTTTCCTATATCCGGGTTTGCTATCACGGACAAAACTAAACACGCGCCGTGAACGCGTCAGGATCCTGCAATTTGTCTCTGAACGTCATTGGTTTAGCCGGTTATAGTAAACCAAAAAAGAGAAGAAGCGGCATGACGATGCACTTTCGGCACTGCCTGATTGGCTCTATTAGAACATGACTTCGGCTTTGGTCGGAGTTTATATGAAACGAACTATAGACCAGCGCAAAAAATCCCCTTCTGCGCTCTGCCATCCTTGTCTGCTGGGCTGTGGAACGCCTTTAGAGCATGCGCTGTTGCTCTGCAGTGCGGTCGGCCGAAGGAGAGAGAAAGAAAGGAGGGAGCAAAGAGGAAACGACCTCCATTTTGACGCAACGCGCTTTCGGCGCAGAGCACTGTTGAGGCTAAGTGCCGTCAGTATGGGCCGACCTTTTTTTCGCCTGAATAAAAGTTTGCGGTCAAACGTCGAGGAAACTTTATCTGTTCGCTTTTTAACCCACCCAGGGATAGCACTATATCAGTTTTGTTGTCAGAGCCTGCAAAATAAAAGGAAAGAACCAAAATTTTGGGTGTCGGACCTATGCATCCCACAGGGCGAATGAATGAGAATGTCGGCCTTCCACGCTCAGCTGGGAGCAGCCGGGAGTTAACGCGCATGCGCTCGTGTTTCTCGCTCTGCGTTTCGGTCTGACTGTCTCAAGCGGGAGGGGGGCGTTACACCGGAGAGATCATAAATTGGCGAACCTGAACAAATATACGGCTCTGATCCTACTGAAACAGCGGTGCCTGGTGGCAAAATCTTGTACCGGCGACGACGGCGGCGGCTCCTGGCTTTGCTTCTGTTCTTCCAGGCACTAAAGGAATATAGGAGGCACTGTCTGGCCTGATTTAGACACCTCTTTCTTCTTCAATCGTGATTGTGGCCGACCTTAATGTTTTAATAATATTTTAGCCAAATTTTATCTTTGTGCTTGTACTTGAAATAGAAGCATCCATCAGTGTGAGTCGTCACAGCTGACTGCAATAAGCGCCGCTGGATTATTTTTAAATGTACAAATGTACGCTTTCTTTACTTCCATATAGCTGCTGGCTATGGCCTCCTCTCTATTGCTATTGCCTTCGTATCCGGAACGTTCAAGTCCCTTGTTCAGGTAAGCCACCAGGCCCGTTAAAGGGAGGAAAAAAAAAAGGGGGGGGGGGGGGGGGGAAGGGAAGCACAGTGTTTTTGTTTTGTTTTTTTTAGTTTCACGAGCTGTTTCTACGGCTGTACTCTTTGTTTGAACTTGTGGGATTGTAGCGACTACTTTTGCCTTCATATTTCTTCCTCCTGTCCCAGAATTATCAACCAATTTTTGGCTCCTTTCCTTCATCAACCCGATCGCAGGTTTTGCGCGAGTCAATGTAGGGCTGCAGCAGCATCTCCTAGATGGTTGCAAGACCGTTGCGCAGGAGGTGGATACAGGGCACATAGTGGATACGAGTACTTCGTCATCGTAGGGTGGCGACTCGTGTTGATATACAGAGGACCCGAGTGCTATCCGAACGCTGACGCCACCCTCCTGTTTAGTTCGTTCCCCACGTAGGTTTCATTTACTTCATACTTAAACTTCAGCACTACGACCTTCATATTAGGAGGTGTTGGCTGCTGGCATCTGGCGGAAGCGCGGTAAAAGCTGCCCCGATGGTGGAGAATGTACGCTGTAATGTCGGCCGTTTGGCTTGTACGAAGGTCACTCAAGTTCTGAGGTCTACTGATTTATTTATAAAAAAGTGCATGTATCAAGAAGACGAAACTTCGTCACTTCTCTACATTGTGACCCCCCTAGGTCTGTGCATCATGTGCAACGTCAACACCTAGCTGGTCTCGACGAAGTATACCGAGACCAGCTAGGGTTCCTATAGTAAATCGCAAAGTCGGAGCCGAGCTTTGAAGAACGCGCCGGCAGTATTATGGTAACGATGACACGGCGCTTTTGTCGACGGAGTCCAATAGGCACGCTCCTCAAACCTTCGACTGCAACTTTAGGTTAGATGACTCTAGAGCCCCTGGAATTGACTAACGCAATAATGGGGAGGGTTGAAAACTCGACCACGAAAATTGTCTTTCATGTTCGTATAAACAAAATAGTGCCAAACGCAATGTCAGGGCTCTAGAAAACCTGAAGAACCAGTTAAAAGTTGTATTCGCGAAGAATTATTTGAAAAGAAAACGTGTTGCTAATGAGGTTGATCATCCCCGTGATTGAAGGTTACGGCTACGGTCGTTTTCGATCCTTTTTTCTCCGATGCAGAAATATGATGTTTGTTCTCCATAAAATCCTTGTATACAATGAAGCCGTAATTATTGTTCCCTTTGGAATGCGCTGCAATTAGTGAAGACACATTCACTGTCCCAGACCATGACCGCCACTATAATTTTTTCACTGGCGGTAACGCCAAACCTATTTGGCGAATGGGAGACACAGTGTTTCGGCTGATAATACTGACATCCGTTTTCAGTATTGAAAACCGGCATTAAGGTCACGTTTATTCGAAACGTGATGATATTAAGTCACCATTTGTGCCGTTGCTACTCAACCAATATCGTCATGAATGACAACTGATGATTTGATGATGCGACGAAAGACTGACGGAAAACAACCGTTTAATGAAGAATATAAGAAGGCTAGTGTCGCAGGTGTCGATGGCGGCGTAACAGCAGTATCGAACGCTGGGGCGAGACTGACTCCGGCTCAGCACATGGAGCCCCTTATGTAGTAAGTACACGCGTGGGCTTCTGGAACAATCGGCGTAAAAGGTTCGGCGCGTAGGACATTCGGATGTCTAAGAAGCCAACAGGGTTCTCGAATTTACAAAAAAACACGACACAGAAATAACAAAAAGGTGCGTCCGCTTCCAGGCATCGAACCTCCGCCCTATACGTGGGAGCCAAGCACGATAACGATTAGGCCACGGACGCGCTTGCTCAGAGACGCGCGTGACATGACTCCCCCTTTAAGAAAAGCATCGTCTCGATACTATGTGCACGAAACCGAAACAGAATCCCCCCCCCCCCCCCCCCCCCGCCACCCCTAAAAGAAAGTGTAAACTACGGAGGGTGGCAAAACACGGTCTTAGCGAGCGTAGTATGGAATCACAGTTCAAAGCCTTTTAGAGCGTAGTACGGCTTGAGGCGCACAACGTGGTCGACTTCAAATCGTGGTGGGCGGCGCGATAATGTTCTTGTTTTGTCGATCATCAACTCGTAGTGCAAGTCTCCCAGGCGGCGGAGTATATTTTAGGACTTCAATTTAGCGCTTCAGCAGTTTCTCGCTTAGATCGCGTCGTCATATCGGGGTCAAGACCCACACACGGTCTCCAGGCTTGAAGCGAGCGTCGATCCGACGAAGGTTGTACCGGGTAGCGTTGACACCTTTTTAATCTTAAATTTGAAGTTTGGCGAGCTGACGGACGTCTTCTGCACGTTGAGAAACAACGCGGGCATCTTCGTTGCCGTCGTGACCGGGTTCGTGTGGGAGCATTGAGTCGAGCGTAGTCATCACCTTTCGGCCATAGCGGAAACGGTGTCACACCTGTGGTCGTTTACACCGCCGTGTTGTAGGCAAACGTGACGTAAGGTAACACCTCGTCCCACGTTTTGTGCTCTACGTCGACATACTTGGAGATCCTGTCTGCGATAATTTTGTTCAGCGGTTCTGCTAGTCTATTTGCCTGCGGAGGTACGCAGTGGTTCGACGGCGGCTGGTGCTACTGAGACAAAGAATCTCTCGCGTCAGCTGGTACATTATTGATGATCACGGTCGGTAATGAGGACTTCGCGGGCGCCGTGTCGGAGGACGACTGACACGATGAAAAACTAGGCGACTTCAACAGCCGTACTTGATGGAATGGAAGGGCTTTTGTCTCGGTGTACCCTGTTAGATAATCGGTCGCGACGACTATCTATCCGTTTCCTTTAGTCTATGGGGAAAACGGATCAAAAAAGTTCATTCTGATCTGTTGAAATGGGCAGATGGCAGCGCAATTGGCTGAAGAATTCCTGCCGTTCTCGCCGGTGGTTTCTTCCGTCGTTGACACTCGCGGCAAGATCGGGTGTAGTGATGAACTGTCATCGCAAGCTTTGGACAGAAGTACTTCTCGCGTACTCTGGCAAGAGTCCTGCTGTAGCCAAAATGTGCCGCCGTCGGGTCATTCTGTCAGGCTTGAAATATCTCTTTTCGAAGAGTGGAAGAATCAGCAGGCAGCCACGCCATGTTGCTGTCGCTGAAGTTTTTGTAGAGCACACCTTGTCGGATGGAGAAGGTTGACAGTGTTTGTATAAAAACGCGGGGAACCGCACTTTCTTGTCCCTCTGGGTGCGTAATGAGTCCTCGCAGTTCAGGATAATTTCTCTGTAATGCTGGCATGTCACTGACATCAAGTGCGCCGAAGAAAGACTCGCCGGCATCGTCTTCAGTGCAAGCAGGGCCGGCCTCGACGGGGTCCCTTTACAGACAATCGTCGTCACTGCGCTTTCGGACGGACTTGTACACCACGGTAATGTCAGTGATATGTTTCGCTAAGCGAAGAGCAAGAGAAAGTCGAAAACGAGCTTCCATCACGCGCTCAGAAAAAGACCATTTCTACCGACGTCATGAACAGTGGTGTACCTTTAGTTTAGACTTGAAAATGAACGCTTCTCTCTATCGGAAAGAGTGTATCAAATTGGTGACGAGCGAAGTTAGGCAAACCTCGAAGATGGGCGATTACGTCATTCATGGACGTATTAAGGAGTATAACCCCGGAGGTAACTGGAATTCGTGGCTCGAACGTTTAGAATTCTGTTTTGAAGCCAAGGACATCACCAGCCCCGGGAAGAAACGAGCAGTGCTACTGACATCGTGCGGTGAGACGACCTTTGACATCGTACGGACATTACTTGCGCCGAAAAGACCTTCGGAAGTCAAATTTAAACAAATCTTGAAACGCCTCAACGATCACTTTGACCCGAAGTCAGCGGATCTGCTCAGCCGTTTCAAGTTCCACCAAAGAAATCAAGCGCCCATAGAGACCATTTCTGAGTACGTCGCCGCTCTCCGAAAGATAGCAGTACACCGCAACTTCGGAACGGTGACAAACATCATGGCCACAACCGCAACCACGGTGACGCCCGCGACAAGGGCCAGAGCTTTTGGGACTACACCAGAAAGTTCGTCAAGTGAGGAGGCACAGGCGGTCCAAACGCCACAGACGTCGCAAACTCGGGGGGCCGTTCCTTCTACGGTACTGCCGCTAGAGATCATGCTACGCGATCGATTCATCTGTGGCATTAAGGACACACATCTTCAGCAGCGCCTGTTAGTCGAGCGGAACATCACGTTCCACCGAGCCTACACGATAACCTTGGCGACGGAGGCTACCACCATCCAGCAACGCCAAATACAAGTTAGCAAGGAAGGCAAGGTACAGAACTCCACGGCAGTGAAATCCGCAAAAGATGACAAGCCAGCGAAGAAACCCTGCTTTCGCTGTACAAGCATGCGCTCACCGGATAACAGCAAGCACATCAAGGCAATATGCAAATTTTGCCACAAGAAGGGACATTTGGAAGAGGCGTGTTTTAAGCGTAAGGCCAAATTCCAAGAGACTTCAATAAGTCGCACGCATCACGTGACAGAACCGGAACACGAGACGCATGGCGACCTGTTCGCTGTTAACAGCGTCACACAGGGAGACTCCTCGCGGATCATTATGGAACTTCTCGTAAATGGTCGACCTCTCAGCATAGAAGTGGACTCCGGAGCTTCAATCACAATAATCAGCTCCGACACTTTTGAACATCTTTGGCAGGGACGGCCGCCTAAGCTCGATCATTGTGACCTCTCCTTGAGCGTCTGGGCGGGAGACCGCATGCACCTGGCTGGGAAGTTGCCTGTCAATGTACGATTCAAGGACAAATAAGCTCGTTTGAAGCTTTACGTGGTTAATAGAAAGGGAGCAAGTCTTCTTAGTCGAGGCTGGTTTCCTGCGTTGAACATCAAGGTGTCGGAGTATACGCAGTGTCTCCTAAAACTCTGGAAGATCTTCTGACGAAACATAAACAAGTTATCCAGGGACAGCTCAACGGTCATGTCGGCGAACCGATACACATAGACCTACGACAAAGTACATC